CTTGAAACTTGCACTTGTCCGACATAGCAGGTTTTCCAATCACATACTAATCTCTTTATCTATCATATAGTTATTTATGATTTTGTATAAAAAAAACTCCTTTTTTCATAAATGGTGCATAAATGAAGAGAATTATATTGCACTTCGATAAATCTGAGGTCCATACTGTAGAATAAAAGTTCTTATAACACAGCCAGTAGAGATTTTGAGTGCACGAGGAAAAATGACCAGTGGAGCGTGAAAACACTGACGTAAGTAGTATACATGACGATAAACAATCTACCAATAGTTTCTGCTGTACTGTTATCCTATCTACACTATACATAAGATGGTACATGTAACAATGCACTCTAACCAATTCGGCTATGCCATAGATGTGCGAGATTCTGTGCCATCACCCCAAATTGTCCTTGTACAGTACTGACCAGTTGCGACGCATGAAGATGGCTTCCTTGATCAGCCGACAGGGAAATAGCCTTTCTATTCGTCTTTTCAGTCATTGAAAAGTCATACAAACCTTGCAAATGTTCAGGATTCAACAGAAAACGAATCTGGCAAAGGTTCAGTTCTTCGACATCTGCTTCATTTACACCATCTGGTAAAATACATATCAAATCTGTGCAATAGGAGGGGGAGGAGTGTGGTCGTTCTTGGTGATTAAAATCCTGTTGTGGAACGTTTGTTCGTCAGAACTGAATGATGATTATTGTAATCCCGAAATTGTGAAATTTTATGTGTTTATGACTGTTGGATCACTAGTGAAGACAAAAAATAGATATACTGATTATTTCAGAGTGAGAGTCGATGGTTGTGACGGGGAGATCGTAATTGTTTATATATATAATCATTGGTATGACTTTTGTAGAAACTGTCATAGAGTTATCAGTGAAAATGTCCTACTCGTCTAAAAGGGATACCTCTACCACAATAGGTGGACGTTATGCCAAGGCATCAATAAACATTACAACTGGTGTGCAATTTACGCATGGTTTAAACTCTAAACGAGTTTTGATTGGCGGACATGGTAAACATTGTCAATGGCGGATACTTCGTTTTATTGTTTTAACAATTCCAACGGGAACGAAGATGGAAAAGGCTTGATTCAGAGAGTGGATGATATGTTTTACAATGACTAATGACTACTTTCAGAGTATATTAGGAATAAGGTTTTCCACACTGTTCTAGAACTGTAAAAATAACAACAAAAAACAAAAATAAAAAAACAAAAACAAATGGTGCCGGTGAATACGCCATGTTTAGTGTGGGTGGTTAGAGCAGAGCGATGGAGAGGAAGCCATGGTCTTTGTGTGGGTGGTTAGAGAAGAGCGATGGAGAGGAAGCCATGGTCTTTGTGTTGATGGTTAGAGCAGAGCGATGGAGAGGAAGCCATTAGAGCAGAGCGATGGAGAGGAAGCCATGTGTGGCTGGTTAGTCTTTGTGTTGGTGGTTAGAGGTTAGAGCAGAGAGCGATGGAGAGGAAGCCATGGTCTTTGTGTGGGTGGTTAGAGCAGAGCGTTGGTGAGGAAGCCATGGTCTTTGTGTGGGTGGTTAGAGCAGAGCGATGGAGAGGAAGCCATGGTCTTTGTGTGGGTGGTTAGTGGAGAGGAAGCCATTCTTTGTGTGGGTGGTTAGAGCAGAGCCATGGTCTTTGTGTGGGTGGAGAGGAAGCCATGGTCTTTGTGTTGGTGGTTAGAGCAGAGCGATGGAGAGGAAGCGGTCTTTGTGTGGGTGGTTAGAGCAGAGCGATGGAGAGGAAGCCATGGTCTTTGTGTGGGTGGTTAGAGAGGAAGCCATGGTCTTTGTGTGGGTGGTTAGAGCAGAGCGATGGAGAGGAAGCCATGGTCTTTGTGTTGGTGGTTAGAGCAGAGCGATGGAGAGGAAGCCATGGTCTTTGTGTTGGTGGTTAGAGCAGAGCGATGGAGAGGAAGCCATGGTCTTTGTGTGGGTGGTTAGAGCAGAGCGATGGAGAGGAAGCCATGGTCTTTGTGTTGGTGGTTAGAGCAGAGCGATGGAGAGGAAGCCATGGTCTTTGTGTTGGTGGTTAGAGCAGAGCGATGGAGAGGAAGCCATGGTCTTTGTGTTGGTGGTTAGAGCAGAGCGATGGAGAGGAAGCCATGGTCTTTGTGTGGGTGGTTAAAGCAGAGCGATGGAGAGGAAGCCATGGTCTTTGTGTGGGTGGTTAGAGCAGAGCGATGGAGTATAAGGAATGTTTTTTGTGTGTGCGTTTGTGTACCCCGTCTACATGTATCATATTTACCTTTTGATGTCTTGTGATATGAGGCAAACTGATTAACATTTTAGATTGTTAACCGACTGACGTTATTTTTACAATACAAGCTTTAATCAATCGCGAACTCAAAACTGGTATTGTTTGTTCTGTTTTATAGACATACCAAAGAGGGTGAATTAATAATATATTAGATATTATCAGATCTTTATATTAGAATGTTAAATACTTTAACTAGAAATAGAGATAAATGCTATGATTTCTTTGGTTGCAAGATACGTCTTTTTCAGGGCGAAATGTTGCCTTTTAGAAAACTTTTTAATGATATTGACCAACACCTTATTGGCTGAACCTCATTTATGTGTGATTGTGATATATCTATCGTTACTGAATATTCTGAGGACGTGTACGAGATGTTAGATTTCCTGTTTTAGTATACCACGATGTGGGGTCTTACTGTTCACACATCTAAAAGTAGGATTTTATTTCGAGGGAAGAATATTAAAGAATTAACGAAAGAAGGAAGTATGATGAGATAGAATTAGGGTCAGATGATTGGTTGAATTATCTTGGATTTTTTTTAATACAATGGGAAATTTAAACAAAGACTGAAAAGATGAATGGAGAAGGCATATATTGATATACTAGATTATGTAAGACACATCGATACACGATTAAAAGATATGTGATATCTATGTTGGCAGCATTGTTAATTATAGACAGATACAAGTGATTTCAAAGAAATCTTCTATTGTAGGAACATTTAATTTTTCCACTGTGAACACCACCGTACCCCGGTCTAAAATGATCGAACGCCTTCGCTCTCTTATTATGAAGGTTTTCTTTTCCAAGAAACGTGAACAGCTGTACAAATATGGCTGTGAATTATACCAAAGCGTATTTTGTGAAAAAAAAAAAAAAACAATGCCAAAGCCAAATCAAACAAGAAATATACGGAACACGAAATGATCGAGTTTCTTTGTCGAGTTTTTAGAGATAACATCTTCCAATAGAATATTGGCATACTTATGGTAGCAAACTATGTCCTTCTGTTGGCTGACTTTGTCTTCATACGAGGCCGATTTTTTCGGACAGCGAATCAAAATAGGTTGCACAGAGCTTACGAAGTCGTTTGATTTTACTTTCAGACATATTGATGACATCTTAACTTTAAATATCAAAAGCTTTATAGGGCTGTTTATCGTATATACTTTCCACCAAGCTGTATGATAAGCGTGGTGATTTCAAATTCCCGTTTTTGGAATGCGACATTCATGCATCTACAAACTATGGTGTTCACACAAATGATTCGTTATTCCCAGTATCACAATTTTTCTGCTTCATATCGGCGGTTGACAGACAAACTCACAACACGGGGTTTCACGAGATGCAGGTTTATAAAGATTACAGGAAATATTATAGATCGTCATGGTGATATCACAGAAAAATATTCTATACCTTTGTGCTATTTCAGTAAACCTAGTGGTCCTGTTGTTTATCGTGTTCTCCATTAGGTGACGCTGCTTACCTGGGTTGACCAAGATTTATACAGCGGGTCTAGTCGATGAAACAGAAGACGCTTACTCTTTCGCAACCCATTGCCTTATTCTCCTTGTACTTTTTCAAGGGTCTCTGCTTAAATCTTTCTGTTGTTGATATTTTGCCCCAATTTTATTTATCGAATATGTGTTTGAATTACTATTTTGTTGACATGTCGATATTTTCTTTGCTGTTTTTTTCCGTAAAGGACCTGATACAGAAAACTCGGATTCAGTTTTACAAAAGATTTTTCACAAGTCAAAATGATATTTTACTGTGATGTGCGAAACATTATTTCAAGAATGTCTAAAGGACAGTTAATCGAGAATCAAAACAATATTTTTCTGCAACTTTATTTGAGGAAATTATTAATTCAAGTTCCCTTCAACAGAGTTACTCGATGTAGAATGTCTGTTCCCAAATTCGTTATTGATATTAAAGATGTGTTCCATTTTGTTCAATTACTTACCACTCAAAAAAGTATTCATTCATGTAACTATATTATTAAATGATAACATATTTAAACGTAGATCTGTACTATTGGAGTGTGACCGCTCATTCGTTTGTGTTTTTCGTATCATACATAATTGTGAAATGTATAGATCACCTTAATATGTGTTTGTGTTAATTCTTTTTTACGATAGTGTAGAAATCCACGATCGAACGCTTTCGTGGAGACGTTAAGTGTAACCTGCTTGGCCGCGAAGATAAAAATCCCTGGGTAGACTTAACGGTATTCCTATTCGTTTCTATATTTAGACCCTTCACGTGTTTTACGAGATATATGTCACATTGTTTCGACATGGGTGTTAAATAAATATTTTGTATTTAACGATTACATCAGAACATTGATTAAGCCTAACTCTGAAACTACGTGTCTAGAAACACCATGATACCGAAAGTAGAAAATGGGAAATCCCCTTTCTGGAAATACCAAGAAATCTTACTGTTAAAAAAAAACCTTGAAGAAGACATATATATTACAAGATTTTGTAGCTGATGTATTTAAAAAATTACACAGGACTTCTCTCACTGTGGCACTTTTGTGGATTACGTTTTGATGTCCTAATCACGGACTTTTGGTTAGTCGTTTAACTATTTGTTGATAAACAACATCAGCGTGGTATTTTGTGTGTAGATGTATGTGTACACAGTTACACTACAGAAATACATTACAGTGTCCTAGATAAGTGTGCATACCATAAATGTGATGAAAATGAACAATTCAAACGATATGGAATTAAAAAGAGACATTGATAATTTGCAAAAATTGCCTTCATCTAATGAACACTTGAATATGGATGACGAGGAGACGTGTGGTACAGGATCTTTCAGTGTTAACGAACATGACCCTATGTTAAATGAAGACAATATTACATGCCCAATCAGCGCCCCTGCCCCATGTTTGGCGAAATGTGCGGATTTTGAAAACTCACTGACCACTAGATTAACAAACGACTTAATCCACGTTACACAAAATCCAGTAACGCCTAGAAACGTAATTGGACATTGTAAATTATATGGAATGGTGATTGTAATTGTTTTGTCTATCGGCTTTAACATTGCTCTTTTAACATTTGGATTATGGTACGGTTTAACCAGAAATCAATCGCCTTCACAACACGCTTCACAAACTACAACAGAAGCACCGTCGTTGGGTTATAGAAGATATTTAGTGAATCCCGATGATGTCAAGAATTTAGTAGCTGTGCCGTGTGATGCACGTGAGAACTTAATGGAACGTTTTCCTGGTATGGTGAGAGTGAATGTAAACGTCTCTTCTATTTTTAGCAAAAAGTCGTTTCAGGAATACTGTTACCTGCCGAAGTCTGACCAGTTAAACCACTTCCTGCGGATTGTAAGTTTTCTTCATTGTTGATGCTGAATACACTTTGTATAAATGCTGGGTTCATTAGGTAAACGAATTGTACAATGGGTCTAGAATAAATGAACTATTCTTCTGAACAGAAGAAACAGTATCCTGCTAAAATCGTGTCATTGATAAAGTTTAGGATTGCATTGAAAAGTAATTTTGTAGGGTATCGTGTTATCATTTATCAAATATTTTCTTCTATGTCACAAAATTTGGTGTTTTCTCTCCAGTGATTTGTGTCAATGTTCAGTATACCTTTGTATACAGACATCTGGTCATTAAATCGACGTTGATAAAACCTTCATCGACCTCCATATGATATGACAAGGCTACCTTGTGTGCATTTAACCATAATAATCAAATTCGGAGAATATTAGTCACAGTAGCAAGTGAACAGTGCACACAAATATTGACATTTTGATACGACAATCAGTGATCAGATCAAATAGTTCAGTAGTGCAGACATGACTTTGCAAAGTGAGTTCTACATAATCTCCTTCACGACAGACCTAGATAACGGATTATTTACGGCCGTAAAACCACGTATATCTGTCGGATATATGTGTTTACTATTATCTACACTGCTGTTACTGTTTTTCTGATTTACTGAATTTTGGCATGACAATAAAATCTACCTTTAGCCATACAGACTCGGCATTTTCAGTACGCGCGAAAAAATACTCTCGCTAAATGAGGATATTTGTGCAGTATCTATCTGGAGTAATCGTTCATTACACACACTTATATGACGTAACGTGGGACAAATTCATATATTGAATATTACACTGGTATTGTTATTTTTATATTACACTTCACATCTGTATTTTTTTATTTAAATATTCAAGGAGAGGAAGGTCACTTGTTTAATTCCAAAAATGTTTCTGCTTAAGTTAGCTTATCGCCATCCCTTCATGTATTGTAAAATAGTCACCATTTTGAATGATGTACAGCACCTATTGTGTGAGGCACAGATGCATAGTGTTAAACAGGTGCGCATCCAGGCGGTTTGATATGTACGCAGACAGGTATGAATTAGGTTTGCCCCCTGCCCAGGGTGTAGGGCGGTAGCCTTGTCTATACGTGTTTATGTATCGAACCATTTGGTATGAACACTTTTATAACGATAACCATGAGAATTACGTCGTGTTTTGTCGTGTTCTTTTTATATCTGAACTATACTAATGACTGTGTAAAGCATGCGGCGATACGACACGACCATTGACACGACACACGACACGACCATCGGCACGACACACTACACGACCATCGGCACGACACGACCATCGCCACGACACACGACACTACCATCGACACGACCATCGACACGACACGACAATCGACACGACCATCGACACGACACGACCATCGACTCGACCATCGACACGACCATCAACGCGATACGACACACCAATGGACACGACAGGACACGACAGGACACGACACGACACGATACGACACGACTCGACCATCGACACGACCACGACACGGCGCGACCATCGACACGACACACAATCGATACAACACATCCATCGAAAATACACAGGAACGGCTGATCTACATGTACTACTAACAACACGACACAACACCAACATAACAACGATAACACAATTAGCGATTCAACAAAACTATCGATATAACACAACCATCGATATAACACAACTGTTGATAAAACACAATTAATGATATAACACAACCATTGATACAACACAATTAATGATACAACACAACCATTGATACAACACAACCATCTATATAACACGATTGATGATACAACACAACCATCGATACAACACAACAATCGATACAACACAATTAATGATACAACACAATCATTGACACAACACAATTAATGATACAACACAACCATTGATACAACACAATCATTGATACAACACAACCATCAATATAACACAATTGATGATACAACACAACAATCGATACAACACAATTAATGATACAACACAACCATCGATATAACACAACCATCGATACAACATAATTAATGATACAACACAACCATTGATACAACACAACCATCGATACAATAAACTATCAATGATTTGCGTAATGAAGAAGTTTCAAGCAGTTTTCTTCGTCCTAAAACATATATGTTGAGTGGAATATTTTATTCTCTTTCCAGGTAAATCTAGTACAACACAGTGTTAACGGTTCTCTTGGAATTAAACGTCAGCATTGCGTTTCCTTGACCTATCCGACAGTAAAAGTTGGTGTAAATGGAAGTGGTGGGTTTCTTTTCATGTCACTGAAAGAATCTTAAATTTCAAATACATGGAAGTTAACTGTATATCGAAGATAAACCATTTATTACAGAAAACATAATACAATACACGGTTAAAAGTAGTTTGATATTTTGGTATACAGAGACATCTGGAAAAAACAATTCAGCTATTATTTGAAAAAGTAAAACGCGCAAAATTCTTCAGAAAACTTTTAACTTCCGCCAAATGTAGTCATGTGTGTAACATTTTACCATAATTTATTTTCAGTTGTACGATATGAATGGAGCGAATATGGCAAATACGAACAAAATAATATATTTAAAGTGCTCCGTGATCAGCGGACAGCAGAGCTACAGCTGAATGGACCGACTGGCTACTACATGGTCATGGCGAGTACAGTTTACAAATCAACGCTAAACATGCAACCGACTCCTATAACTCTAGGGGCCTTTGTCAACGACAGGAAGGTCGTAAGTCAAAGTAAAATATTGCTACCTTCCGATGAAGGGTTTACTTCTCTGTCTTTTCATGACGTAATACACATGAATAGAAATGAAACAGTCAAGATAAAGGCATCGGAACAGCAATACCTATATAACGTTACGTCCGGAGTTCATACTGCTCAGATGTGTTGTATTCCTGTACTAGGAGGGTGTAATAGGTGATTTGGTTAGATTTGATTGTATCAGCAGTGGCCAATTACATCAGAATTTGAAATTGTTACCTACACGTTAACAATGGGTAAGAGACGTTCACGTTTTGTTTAAGTGGCGTTGTAACCGAACGAAATCGTCAAGAAATCCTTTGAAACATTGTTAATATCAATAAGTAGATACAGTTTTATTTTATCGGCGAGGATCGTCAAACATGGCGTGAGACCTAGTCAAACAAGACAAGAATAATCTCCATGTTTGTTACATCAAATCCAACCCGCTTCAGATGTCAACGATATCATCACATCTCATGATATCTTTGTTCTTGTTGAAACTAAAACTGACTGTGTGTATGTACTTAGTTTACCACAAGGTTATTAACATTTCATGAAAAACAGGATTAACTGTAAGACAGAATCTGGTGGAATTGTCATTATCTACAAAACTCAGCTTAATAGATTTTTGAAATTTCCCTCTACATGTTCTGGATACGTTCAATGGGCCAGAGTACTTATAAACATAGCTAGCAGTGAAGGCGATTTACTTATAGGATGTATTTATTTACCACTAGAAACCATTCCGTACTCGTCTCCTGAAGCATTAAAAGAAGGTAGAAATGAGTTGCATGAACTGCGATCAATTGTTAGTAACATAATGTTAATTGGTGATTTTAATGGCAAAACAGGACAACACCCAGATTTTACTATACTAGATATATATTATATTATAAATGTAATTGATAATTTTTGTATGATTACGTAAATTTGTCTCTGTTGAATGATACTTTACAGTGACGTAGCCAATGTGTATCTAGACCTAATAAGCATGGGTTTAAATTACTCGACTTAGGTAGAAATAATAATCTGTATATAGCACATGGTAGAATTGATAAAGATTAAAATTGTACGTCCGAGACAAATTGTTTCAAGTGTCGGCTACCGATGCCTTCGGCTTGAAAAACGGTGATAGTACACAACTGTCGCCTAAAACTTCTAATGATAAGTCATGGTTTACAGCTGAATGTCGCTCTTTCAACGAAGTAAAACATAAATATGAAAATCCTTAATAGGAAAATAACAGAGTGTTGATGAATAAAAGCTTTAGAGAATACAAAAAAGTCTTACGAAAGAGTTATAATACCTATATTGTTAATATTGAAAACCAAATAAGGAAAACTTCGAAATAAAGAATTATGGGACTCTGGTCACACGTGACTTACCCTCTGTTAGTTCAGCCACGCGTGACTTACCCGGTGCTACATGTAATTAAGTCACAATGGAATTATATCCGGGGTATTAAACTGTTGTTGATGTAATATGACAATCTGTTGATTTAACTATATTTATATAACTGTTATTATGTATATGTTCACATAAAATGGTCTACATTTTCTCAGTTGATCTGTATGTAATAAGAAAGATCAATATTCATAGTCATACGCACCAGGTCATTTTTGTTTGGTTTAGATGTTGACTTTGATAGTACACATCTGCTTTGTGAGGGTGTTTTGTTTAAAATTAGATATCAGTAACGAGGGAAGAGGACAGATTCTTAAAACACTGAAAGATTACAATTTTGTTTCAGAATGTATAGTCTTGTAGATAAGTGACATGGCATGGTGCTTCCAATACAACAATGCTGTATCGGAACTTCCATTTACAACAATATTCTGAAATTGAGAGAACATTAGATAGGGCATAGATTATCTATTGGATTAAGAGTTTGTTTTTTATTGTTTTTTTTTACCCAAGTTACTAAGAACACCTAATTCTTTCACTTTTTCTAAACTGCAGCAATATTATGTAAATAAGAAAATGTTTACCCTTAGATGTATAACATGTAACACGCGTGTTGTTTTCATCATTTACACAAATGACTCATGTAATTTGTGATACCATAAAGTAAAGGACTCGATACGGATACCTATACGTAAACCGAAACTGACGGTTTTTTGTACCTAAACCGAAACTGGTGTTTTTTTGTACCTAAACCGAAACTAACCGTAATTTATATGATATATCGATGCATGCAGCTTGCTTTGAATGTCAATTCGATCTTATTCATACAATTTAGAGGATTACGTAAGTTAAAACCGGATTTTCCATGTTTCATAGAAAAGGCAGCTTCGTTGAACAACACACAACATACACAATCAAGTCCCTTATTCCTTTCTGTTTAAGTAGAGATACCTTATGATCTCGTTGATTAAAACTCCGATTTCTGATAAATTATTACATGATGTATGTGAATGAAAATCTTTATGATTTATATATACGTTTATGATATATATATTCGTCATTTTTTGTCATTATTAAAGGTAATTACAAAATTGTATATATCGTATAGTCTAACATTTCCAAAATCATTTACTAGATTTTTGACGTCACCAATTTGTACATATTTAACATATATTATCATTTATCAGACAAAGTGACAGTGGTACATTACAACATAATGACTCGTTCCTCTTGACTTTATCTGATACCACATTTGTATTAATAGTCATTGGTTTTCTGTTGATCAAATGCTGTTTGCATATTAAACATCGATCTATTGATTTTGTACAAGTTATCTCATGTACTTAGGTACACACATTTTGTTATTTCTGTCTAAGAATGTTTTATTTGTCTTTTTGTAATATTTTCACTTTGTATTTCTATGATTAAAAATGGATATATGAAGAAAATTTATTTTGGTTTTGTTTTTCTTTGTTTACTCTGTAACTTTAATGTGTCATTCCAATGGTTCAGTCATGGTTCGGAAAAGTAACTTGTGAATCGGGCAATGAAACACAAATAATTTGAATTGTGGGGGAACTACTGCTGCTTCACGTTATATGTATTAGATCATTAAGATTTCAGTAAAGACACACAGGTTAATATCACCTTTTTAATTAAGAATAAAAAGTATAGAGCCAAAATATGAATTAATCTACTTCTACAATTATAAAACTGTTTCTTCTTTCTGGGATTCGTCAGTGATGTTAAGGACCCGAAGTTTGAAACCTATATGACTGAAAGAAATATAAAAATCTAGATGGAGATATCGCTAACCTTGTGATTACCATAAATCTTATGCATTGCTCTTGTTAATGGACACACAGTTACATATGTTATAGTATTGTGACACAACTGTGCGATAGGACTGTACGTTTTTGTGTGGTTTTGTTAAAATGGTTGTCAATATAGAAACATGTTCTATATCTATCAAAATTGATCGGAATTATGAAAGTGTTCAACAATTATAGAAACATGTTCTATATCTAACAGCTATTTGGTAAACAATTATAGAAACATGTTCTATATCTATCAGCTGGGGAAAGAAGTGTGGTAAACAATTATAGAAACATGTTCTATATCTATCAGCTGGGGAAAGAAGTGTGGTAAACAATTATAGAAACATGTTCTATATCTATCAGCTGGGGAAAGAAGTGTGGTAAACAATTATAGAAACATGTTCTATATCTATCAGCTGGGGAAAGAAGTGTGGTAAACAATTATAGAAACATGTTCTATATCTATCAGCTGGGGAAAGAAGTGTGGTAAACAATTATAGAAACATGCTCCATATCTATCAGCTGGGGAAAGAAGTGTGGTAAACAATTATAGAAACATGCTCCATATCTATCAGCTGGGGAAAGAAGTGTGGTGAACAATTATAGAAACATGTTCTATATCTATCAGCTGGGGAAAGAAGTGTGGTAAACAATTATAGAAACATGTTCTATATCTATCAGCTGGGGAAAGAAGTGTGGTGTACAATTATAGAAACATGTTCTATATCTATCAGCTGGGGAAAGAAGTGTGGTAAACATCTATAGAAACATGTTCTATATCAGCTGGGGAAAGAAGTGTGGTGAACAATTATAGAAACATGTTCTATATCTATCAGCTGGGGAAAGAAGTGTGGTAAACAATTATAGAAACATGTTCTATATCTATCAGCTGGGGAAAGAAGTGTGGTAAACAATTATAGAAACATGTTCTATATCTGGTATCAGCTGGGGAAAGAAGTGTGGTAAACAATTATAGAAACATGTTCTATATCTATCAGCTGGGGAAAGAAGTGTGGTAAACAATTATAGAAACATGTTCTATATCTATCAGCTGGGGAAAGAAGTGTGGTGTACAATTATAGAAACATGTTCTATATCTATCAGCTGGGGAAAGAAGTGTGGTAAACAATTATAGAAACATGTTCTGTATCTATCAGCTGGGGAAAGAAGTGTGGTGAACAATTATAGAAACATGTTCTATATCTATCAGCTGGGGAAAGAAGTGTGGTGATATCTATCAGCTGGGGATGTATAGAAACATGTTCTATATCTATCAGCTGGGGAAAGAAGTGTGGTAAACAATTATAGAAACATGTTCTATATCTATCAGCTGGGGAAAGAAGTGTGGTAAACAATTATAGAAACATGTTCTATATCTATCAGCTGGGGAAAGAAGTGTGGTAAACAATTATAGAAACATGTTCTATATCTATCAGCTGGGGAAAGAAGTGTGGTGTACAATTATAGAAACATGTTCTATATGTTCTATCAGCTGGGGAAAGAAGTGTGGTAAACAATTATAGAAACATGTTCTATATCTATCAGCTGGGGAAAGAAGTGTGGTAAACAATTATAGAAACATGTTCTATATCTATCAGCTGGGGAAAGAAGTGTGGTAAACAATTATAGAAACATGTTCTATATCTATCAGCTGGGGAAAGAAGTGTGGTGAACATCTATAGAAACATGTTCTATATCAGCTGGGGAAAGAAGTGTGGTAAACAATTATAGAAACATGTTCTATATCTATCAGCTGGGGAAAGAAGTGTGGTAAACAATTATAGAAACATGTTCTATATCTATCAGCTGGGGAAAGAAGTGTGGTAAACAATTATAGTGTTCTATATCTATCAGCTGTGTGGTAAACAATTATAGAAACATGTTCTATATCTATCAGCTGGGGAAAGAAGTGTGGTGTACAATTATAGAAACATGTTCTATATCTATCAGCTGGGGAAAGAAGTGTGGTAAACAATTATAGAAACATGTTCTATATCTATCAGCTGGGGAAAGAAGTGTGGTAAACAATTATAGAAACATGTTCTATATCTATCAGCTGGGGAAAGAAGTGTGGTAAACAATTATAGAAACATGTTCTATATCTATCAGCTGGGGAAAGAAGTGTGGTAAACAATTATAGAAACATGTTCTATATCTATCAGCTGGGGAAAGAAGTGTGGTAAACAATTATAGAAACATGTTCTATATCAGCTGCGAAAGAAGTGTGGTGTACAATTATAGAAACATGTTCTATATCTATCAGCTGGGGAAAGAAGTGTGGTGAACAATTATAGAAACATGTTCTATATCTATCAGCTGGGGAAAGAAGTGTGGTAAACAATTATAGAAACATGTTCTATATCTATCAGCTGGGGAAAGAAGTGTGGTAAACAATTATAGAAACATGTTCTATATCTATCAGCTGGGGAAAGAAGTGTGGTAAACAATTATAGAAACATGTTCTATATCTATCAGCTGGGGAAAGAAGTGTGGTAAACAATTATAGAAACATGTTCTATATCTATCAGCTGGGGAAAGAAGTGTGGTAAACAATTATAGAAACATGTTCTATATCTATCAGCTGGGGAAAGAAGTGTGGTGTACAATTATAGAAACATGTTCTATATCTATCAGCTGGGGAAAGAAGTGTGGTAAACAATTATAGAAACATGCACCATATCTATCAGCTGGGGAAAGAAGTATGGTGTACTATTATAGAAACATGTTCTATATCAGCTGGGGAAAGAAGTGTGGTGAACATCAATAGAAACATGTTCTATATCTATCAGCTGGGGAAAGAAGTGTGGTAAACAATTATAGAAACATGTTCTATATCTATCAGCTGGGGAAAGAAGTGTGGTAAACAATTATAGAAACATGTTCTATATCTATCAGCTGGGGAAAGAAGTGTGGTAAACAATTATAGAAACATGTTCTATATCTATCAGCTGGGGAAAGAAGTGTGGTAAACAATTATAGAAACATGTTCTATATCTATCAGCTGGGGAAAGAAGTGTGGTAAACAATTATAGAAACATGTTCTATATCTATCAGCTGGGGAAAGAAGTGTGGTAAACAATTATAGAAACATGTTCTATATCTATCAGCTGGGGAAAGAAGTGTGGTAAACAATTATAGAAACATGTTCTATATCTATCAGCTGGGGAAAGAAGTGTGGTAAACAATTATAGAAACATGTTCTATATCTATCAGCTGGGGAAAGAAGTGTGGTAAACAATTATAGAAACATGTTCTATATCTATCAGCTGGGGAAAGAAGTGTGGTAAACAATTATAGAAACATGTTCTATATCTATCAGCTGGGGAAAGAAGTGTGGTAAACAATTATAGAAACATGTTCTATATCTATCAGCTGGGGAAAGAAGTGTGGTGGTAACAATTATAGAAACATGTTCTATATCTATCAGCTGGGGAAAGAAGTGTGGTGTAACAATTATAGAAACATGTTCTATATCTATCAGCTGGGGAAAGAAGTGTGGTAAACAATTATAGAAACATGTTCTATATCTATCAGCTGGGGAAAGAAGTGTGGTAAACAATTATAGAAACATGCTCCATATCTATCAGCTGGGGAAAGAAGTGTGGTAAACAATTATAGAAACATGTTCTATATCTATCAGCTGGGGAAAGAAGTGTGGTAAACAATTATAGAAACATGTTCTATATCTATCAGCTGGGGAAAGAAGTGTGGTAAACAATTATAGAAACATGTTCTATATCTATCAGCTGGGGAAAGAAGTGTGGTAAACAATTATAGAAACATGTTCTATATCTATCAGCTGGGGAAAGAAGTGTGGTAAACAATTATAGAAACATGTTCTATATCTATCAGCTGGGGAAAGAAGTGTGGTAAACAATTATAGAAACATGTTCTATATCTATCAGCTGGGTAAAGAAGTGTGGTAAACAATTATAGAAACATGTTCTATATCTATCAGCTGGGGAAAGAAGTGTGGTAAACAATTATAGAAACATGTTCTATATCTATCAGCTGGGGAAAGAAGTGTGGTAAACAATTATAGAAACATGTTCTATATCTATCAGCTGGGGAAAGAAGTGTGGTAAACAATTATAGAAACATGTTCTATATCTATCAGCTGGGGAAAGAAGTGTGGTAAACAATTATATCTATCAGAAACATGTTCTATATCTATCAGCTGGGGAAAGAAGTGTGGTAAACAATTATAGAAACATGTTCTATATCTATCAGCTGGGGAAAGAAGTGTGGTAAACAATTATAGAAACATGTTCTATATCTATCAGCTGGGGAAAGAAGTGTGGTAAACAATTATAGAAACATGTTCTATATCTATCAGCTGGGGAAAGAAGTGTGGTAAACAATTATAGAAACATGTTCTATATCTATCAGCTGGGGAAAGAAGTGTGGTAAATTACAATTATAGAAACATGTTCTATATCTATCAGCTGGGGAAAGAAGTGTGGTAAACAATTATAGAAACATGTTCTATATCTATCAGCTGGGGAAAGAAGTGTGGTAAACAATTATAGAAACATGTTCTATATCTATC